TCCCATATTCATGGATCTGCCAAGTTACACATTCCCCCTTAAGCAGCATGCAGATTTCAAACTGTCCTTCACATTCCTGCCGGCAAGTGAAGACATGTAAATCATTAGCTCCCCTTATTTCAAAGCAAATGATTTTAACTGAAAAGATCTCTACCTAGGATTCTCCTCCACTTGTTATGTTTTTATGCATAACTTCTTATCTACTCTTGATTATGCTAGAATAGGGTTATGAATATTAATGGCTAGAATTTATAATTTAGTGCTGTGCCTTTCCTGCTGATTAATTCAAGGACATTTTATTTCTTAAGAAGCTTGGCTCCTGGAGCAGTCAAACACATTTCTTGGACACCTCATTTAAACTTGGAATATTTATCTACCAATTTGAGTTGAAAGCAGGGTCTCATCCTCACAATAATTTTATTTTAAAGGATAACTATGTTTGAAATTGAGGCAGTTGAGCTTAAAATTGCCAGGAAAACTTATTTTGAATCTTGCAATAAAACCACAAGATGGTCATAAATTAATAGTTGGATAAAATGGTAATACAAAATGTAAGCACCTTATTGCTGAGTCTTCATTGATGATGTATATGGAAGTCTTTTCTAATTGGCTTTTAAACTTGGACAACACAGTTGGAGATGCCAAAATCGGCACACTCTGTCGCTTTACATCAGTCAACTTCAAATTATCTTTTGCCTTATTCCCTTTTGGATTTCTCCCTTCTATCCCTCCTGTGCTCAGTTAGTCAGAGAAGAGTATGTCATCCCTGAAGCACAGTATAGAGAGTCACGAGGCTAAGAAGGTTCCGTTGGTCAATAGGGCAAAGCTGTGCTTCAAATTCCCAGAGCAGTGTTCTCTTAGTTCCTCCAAGAGCTTAGTTTATCTGGTCGAATGCACCAATGCTTCCACTGAGGCAATTTATGGCTAGAAACCAATACCCAGAGAAAAAGGGGAAGTGTAAGAAAAGTAGTGAAGAAAAAAGAAATGGCATGGAAAGGGAAAAAGAAGAGATAGAAAGAAGAGGACTAACTTTGGAGTAAAGGAAAGGAAGCAAGAATAAAAGAGAATAAGGAATGGATACAAAGACAAAATGAAAAAGAAAAGGGAAAGAGAAAGCAGAAAGAGAAGAAAAAGAGGAGAAATTAAGGAGGGAGGAAGGTAAAAAAGGCTGGAGAAAAGACAAAGGGAAGAAGAGGTGGAGAAAAACATAAGGGAAGAGAGACAAAGAAAAGAAAGGAGAGATGAAAAAGAAAAAGGAATGAAAAGAAATGATAACAAAATCAAGATGGTAAGGAAAAATATAAAAATAATAATGAAGGATGGAGAAGGAAAATAAAATCCTGGGAAAGAAGCATAATGTTTCTTGAAATATATGAACCAAGTGATTTTACAAAGTGAACATTTATACATGACATATCTAGTTTCTACTTTTTTTATAGACCTACTGTGCACTAAAGTCATCCTCCAGTGCTTCATCATAGCATAGAGGTGACCCTGTGTTCTTGAAGGCTTCCAACAGAGTATAAGCTCTGTCAAGTCCTATCAAGCAAAAAAAGAAAATTATAAATGTGCATGTGTGTGTGTTCTAGCATAGTATTGGCTATCTTTAATTTGAGGACTTGAGTCCCTGAACCCATTATCAGGTGAAAAAAAACCATGATTGGAGTAACTGGAAGTATCTATCCTCTTTGGAGAAGATAAAACTGGAGATGGGGGCAGAAAGGAGAACATGGTAGTGTTCTTGAGTATTTGATGAGTTGTCATTCAGAAGAGGGATTAGACTAGTTCAGTTTATCCCCAGAGGACAGAGCTTGGAGCAGTGGGTAGACACTGCAAAAAAAAAAAAGAAAAGCAAATTTAGCTTAAGGTCAGGAAAAAACTTCCTAGCAATTTGAGTTACCCAGAAGTGAAATGGGGCACTTCCAAAAGTGATAGGTTTGCCTTCCTTGAAGGTCTTCAGGAAGAGGCAAGATAACCACTTGTCAATGATATTGTAGTGAGGGTTTCTTTTATTGATGGACTGGAGTGGATGGCCATTGAGGTCCCTTCTAGCTCTCAAATTGTGTGAGTCTAACCAGGTTAGCAAAGCATGAGATTCATCACCACCTTGGCCCATCAGATCAAAAAATGTTCAACCATAGCAACTCACAAAAACTATCTACTAAGATAGGGAGGAACTTCCACTTCACATCAGTAGAGTCAAGCGAAATTACATATTGCAAAATCATATATTGTTTGAAATTACAAATCCTTCAAGTATTAAAAGCTACTGCCTGCATTTTTCATTCTCTAAAAGCAAAAATGAGAACCCAATAGACACTCTGCATACCCACTCTACACCAACATTACCATATGTCACAAACATGGCCCCATGTTCTCACCTAGATGTAAGAAGAAAATGTTAAGTTGTAAAATATGTGGACCATCACCCAGTCTAGGTTCATTTATTTTAGCATAAGGGATGAATACTATCTTGGGAGGTGGGAAAGTAGGTGCTTACTTTAGTCAGTTCTTTTTCAAATTTCTCTGTGAGAACACTAACTGTGATTTCCAAGTTTTCCACCTTCTGAGCAGGAAAGGATGTGTCTGGCAGGACCACGGAGCAGGTGCAAATTCCATGGTCATCCACCGAGCCGTTGAAATTGGAGAACAGCTAGAAAAACAAATTCAACACATACAGTTCAGAAAAGCTGTCACTGTCAAACTGAATGACAGACCCTCATTTATGAATAGAACACTCAGAGAGAGGCAGACAAGTGAAGTTAAATACATAAATGAATAGGATTAGAAAAGAATGTAATAGCTACTTCATTTTCAAAAGTGAGAGCTATATATCGACATAAGCTACGAGCCAAGTTTAGGGGATAGAGAATTTTTTTTTTAAATCAATAGCCTGTACTAAAAAAGTGGCATAGCATTTGTTTGAAGAAGTGAATTTGCAGTCAGAGGACCTGAAAGCCCTCAAGCCAGAGTTTTTGGGGACCCTTAAAATTGATACCCATCTCTGTTATTGATCCCCAGTGCACCCTCAGACAAGTCACATCATCCCTCAGGGTCAGTTTCCCTCACTTATAAAATGACAGACATCACTTACATCCCTTACAATTCTAAATCTATGGCCCTTATGCACTCTGGGAAACACTGGAGAAAATCCTCCTCCTCTACCCCAGAGAAGGAAAATCAGGATGCTTCCTCCCCATCCAGTATCACAACTGACCCAAATGGGTTAGTTCAGTCACTATCACAGTGTAGAGGAAAGAACAATGGATTCGGGTTTGAGTCCTGACTCTGCTCTTTACCAATTGTGTACCTGGGCAAATCATTTAATTTCTCTGGGACTCCATGTCTTCATTTGTAAAATGGGAAGATTGGTCTCAATCAGGGCTTCTTAAACTTTTTCTACCCACGATCCCTTTTCACCTAAGAAATTTTTATGCTACCTCAGGTACATAGGTGTATAAAATAGGTATACAAACCAAACATTTACTGATACTAAATCATAAAGAAACTTATTTTAAAACAATTCTTTGGTATATATACATATATATATATATATATATGTATATATATATATATATATATATAATTTTACCATTTATTAAAGTTGAAGGCAAGTTTCCATACTAGTGAGATGGATGTGCTTGCTTATTTTTACATAAAGAATTAAATCTTGGTGGAATATTTGATACTGCAGGACATAGAGCATCTTCCATGTTTTTCAGAGTTGATTGACATTTTGATTTTATAATTGTCAATGCTGAGAATGCTGCTTTGCATAAATATGTAGCACAAAATGGCAAAGATATGTTTAGGGCTATTTCAGAAATCATTGGAAATTCTTTCTTAATCCCAAGCCAAAATTCATTTAACATTTGTGTATGTTCAGTAAAAACGCTGCAATCATAACATACAATCTCCAATCTGAGCCGAAGTGTTTCTGGCAACATTCATTGGCATTGCATGGCATGACAGCAAGTGCAGGGCAAAATGTGCATGTCATGTGTTCAGAACCAAGGCTGCAGTGAAGTTGGGTGATACAAGCACTGTCAGAAACACTTCAGATTCGTTACACGTTTTATTTTGAATTAATTTTTGGTCATTGCGTGTTCAGAAACCTTGTACTGTTGCCAGGTTTTTCCTGACCCTCACATTCAGTTGTACAATTCCATGGGGGTCATGACACACAGTTTAAGAAGCACTGGACTCTAAATAACCTCTAAGGTCCCTTGGAGCTTAAATTTTTTAATGCTATGACCAAAACCTACCTTAAACTTCTCCCACCCAATTGAATAGGACATTTTCTTCCCATCTTAGTAAAATCATTCCCCAGCCAGTCCATTGCTACCTTGGCAAGAAGGAAATAGCTCCTATTTAGACCCATTCCCATTAGCTACAAGTTTCCTGGAGCTCCCATACTTCTAATTATATCTGTTTCTCAAAAATAAAATGCATACATACAAGTAGCTACATGATTACCTCTTGGTTGTCTGACCCCCAAATCCCAGGGACAGTGAAGTGTAAGCATCTTTAACAAGCCAGGCAAATAAGTTGTAGAGTTATATAAGAGGTTGTTTTTCCAAGGTCAATTTAAACTCCTCAATGTTTGCGAAGAAGAAAAAAAGGTATTTAACTTGCACAGGTTGAAAGTCAGGAGTCATGGGTTGTTAAGGTCAGTTCTACAAATTACTTGCTATATGATCTCAAACAAGTCACTTCATTTCCTTAGGTCCCAATTTCCTTATCTGTCAAATAAGGAGCTCACACTAAGTGATTGTTAATGTTCATATTGGTCCTGACATCCTGGAGACAAAATCCCAATGGTTCTATTTGCTTGTGTCCTTTGTGAATATGGGTCTTGTATTTCCTTCACACTTCACCAACTCTGCCCCTACCTTCCTGGCCTCCACATCTTGCAGTGAAAGACAGAGGTGGAGAACACAGACTAGGTTTCCATCTCCTACACAACCTGGAAAAATGCTCAGCTAGCACCCCTTCTAAAAGGATGAAGGAGAACTGAGCCAGCCATTTATTTATCTACAAAAAACGGTAGAGTGTGTGTGAATCTGAGGGAAACCTGTTTACAGAAAACTAATTTTAAAATACATATAGTTTCCTCAAGACATCTCGGTTAATACTTAATTGCCGCTGCACATTTTTCAATGAAATGTCCTCTTTTGAGCCCCAATTAACATTTTGACTGCTATCACCAACATGATTACCAACCACACAAAGTCAGTCGTAGAAACCCTGCCTCTGACCTGAGCACTCCTTGGACCTTTGCAATGATTTCATCTGCTTGAGTCAACAGGCGCTTTTACTCAGAGCTCGGGGCTCTGAATGGCCTGAATGGCCTCTTTGAGAGTCTGAACAGCAGTGGACTGCAAAGTTTGAAAGGACCTGCTCCCCACAGCTCAAGTCTCAGGAGGTCAGCTGTTTACAGCTGTGATTACACGCTCTATGTGTTCTATTTCCACCAACCACTGAGACCCTCGAACAAGCTAGAACTAGATGACCCTATAAACTAGACTTAGTCCATCAGGGCCTCTGGGCCAATTCAGCTTCCCAGAAATTGAAAAAACATTTTTTTAAAATTCTACCCCTCCAGGTTTCTGAGGTAAGCATAAAAGAAAATGCATTATCTAGTGTATTTTAGCTAAAAGTGTAACATTAGACTCAGTCTCCATTCTATGACCACTATAATAGGGTTGTGGGCGTTGAAAGAAAAGCCCGTTTCTGCTGGGGGAGGGCCAGGAAAAATGAGCTGCTGTTGAGAATCATCTCCCCCATCCCATCCATAGGAAGAGTGGATCTGCTCCATATGACTCAACTCATAAGACCCTCATCCATGCAGGATCCTATGATCCTGAAAGAGTAGAAACTTGGCAGACAAGCCATATACCCTTGGCGCCAGCGTCGTATTATCTGTGGAAGCTTGGAAGAAAGACTCAAGTTCAAAGACACTAATACTTTAGCAGTGGGGAGTAATGTGGCAAGGGATTTTGAAGAAATGACATCATTATAATAATTCCCCAAAAAATAAAAAAGGGGGGAGGAAAGAAAACTTCAGATATATTTTGACCAGGGGAGGTTAATTAACTGAGCAATGAGGTGTTAGACTGTACTTTCCCTTCTCTGGGAAGTCCTTTCAACTCACAAAAAGAAAAAACTGTAGACATCAAGAAGACTCAAGACAAACATCTAGGAACTGCTGTCTAATGACTATACTATTGAAGCAGACCTGAAAGGCATGAAAATAGAACGTTTACCTAGCATCTCCTGCCTAGTACAGTCAGCTTTCCAGCTCTGTCTTTGGGCTTGTCATCAGTCCATCATGCTGTGCTGACTACAAAGTGGCCCATAAATTTGATCAGTGTCTCCCAGGAGATATATCACTGCCCTTCAAGTTCAAAGCTGATGATGTTAATGGTAATCGCTTGCTCTCTATGGCTAGTGTATGAAACTCACTTGAATGGAAAAGCTGAGCTAGAAGTTGAAGGAATGATCTCCTTCCCTTCTGCATTTGGAAAGGCAGGTGATTTGCCCCCTTCCCAAGGGCAAAAGGGAGAATTAGGGTCACTGCATTACAAATATTCCAAAATTCTTGAAAAATGTAGCATAACCTACTGCCAAATTACACAAGATAGAGCAGACAGTGTGGTACAGTGGAAAGAGGCCAAGTTCTGTAGATGGAAGACATGGGTTCACATCCTACTTCTGATGTTTACTAACCAATCTGTGTGACCTTGGACAAGTCCCTTAACTTCCCTCCATCTCATTTTCCTCAACTCTAAAATCAGAACATTGTTCTAGGTGGCCTCTGGGGTCCCTCCCAGATGTACATTTATAATCTATGCATTGGATACCTGTTGTCTAGTTCCATCTACATCAATGGTTATGTTAAATCAACCATTTAGCCTCTCTGTATCTGTTTCCCCATGTACAAAATGAAGACAATAATAGCTGCCCTAATTCTGTAGGATGAGTTCCAGGGAATGTAAATTACCTTGAGCTCCCTAGGAAATGGTCCTAAGATACATTTTTTTTAATTTCAGGTTGCAAACTACTCTGATTAAAAACAGGGCCTAGACACCTGCAAAGATCAAGGTATTGAATAATTGAATGAATAGATAAATGGATGGATGGAAACACTAGGCATCTTTAAAGTCTAGGGAACACTATGTTTGACACCTAACCAATGATAATGTAAAGGCACAAGGTTTACTAGTACTTTCAAAGGGCTCATCAGACTTGAAAGTCCAAGGCAAATTGTAAGAACCCAGTCTGATGGCTTAGGAAAACTGTGTTTTTAATAGGAATGACATCTAGTCCTTAACAAAGAATAGTTGGGGGATGCCCAAAGATATACTTTGCAGAATACTTTGCAGCCAGATGACAGGATCATGTATCAGGAGTCTCTGATACTGATTTATCAGAGAGAGATAAATAAACTAGAAAGAAAATTAAAAACTCTAAGCACGATGGAACTGCAATTTCTTATCTACATTCAAATCATTATCTCCTTGACATCTCCTCAGCAACCAATCAGCATTTTGGATTCCTCTGCATCCTGACCCACTTCTATCTAGCTAAGGGAGCTGACTCGTGTCTGACCCAAATGCTGATGTCTGATTGGCTGGTGAAGAAAGCTGATGAATGATTCATGTTCACTTTCCCCTACAGGAGAAAAAACAGCAATGAATGCTAATCATATCCAAAAATATTTTAAGGATATGTATTAAAGAAGAGCTTGAATCTGAGCTTGGGCTACTAAGAGTTATTGCCTTGTTTATTATGCTTGCACTTTTAGCCTGTATGCTGGCTAAAGAAAATGGTCCTTTTAAAAAATAACCACCACCAATCCTATGTATACTCCCTAGAACAATACAAAGATGCACAAAGAGATCTTGAGTCCTTCCAAACCATGGTTTATTAACACAGATGTTTTAGTAATACTTAATATACAAAGAATTCCATTCATTCCTTCATTTCTGCAAGAATGTAATCTAACCTGGATTCTTAACCTTTTGCATGTTTTGGACCCAGCATGGCAAAACTTTTGAACCTCTTCTCAGAACAATATTTTATATTCATAAAATAAAACAAGCTCAGGGACCCCAGGTTAAGAACCACTTATCTACTCAAGGAACAGCATGTATTGTTTTCACATCACTGAATCTGGATGTCAGAAGAAATGAGTTCTAAATCCAGCTCTGCTATTTGCTACCTGATTTTAAATAAGTCATTTCATTCCTCTAACTTCAATTATCATGTCTATAAAATAAGAAGCCCAGACTAGATGATTTCTAAGGTCCCTTTCAATTCTAAGTCTCAAGATCTTGGGGATGAAAAACCTGTTACTGCCCCATTGGCTTTTCTCCACACACCCCCCTCCAGTGAGACCCATACAATAGGTAGACATGGGTAACTGTTCTTCAACTATGAAAAGTACTTGAAGAGAAAATTTACTACTGTTACATTCATAGGGTAAATTTTTCTAAGCTCCATTAGAAACATACCAGAGGACCAGATACAGAGACAGTAAGATCAACCATTATATTCATCCATTGAATTCTCCCCAATAAGAAAAAAAAGACTCAAGGACATGAAAACGGTCTTAAAGATATTATATTTGCTCTGTTTGGCCCCAGAAGGCAGCACTAGGAGCTGGAAGTTGCAAAGAGGAAAACTTGGGCTGATGTCAGGAATAACCTTCTAATAAGTGGAGGTCCCAAAAGGGAATGGGCTGCCTTGAGAGGGGGTGGCTACCCTCTCTAAGGATGTCTTTAAGGAGAAGTTAGATGAGCACCTATTAGCTGTCTATGTGAGTTGGACTACATAGCATGCTCTGAAATCTGTGATTGTGTGATTCCTCTCCAGGTTCAATGACTTTAAACCAATGGAGATGTACCAGCACCGAGCTCCTACAGAAAGACCCAGTACTCATGGAGAGTTCAAGTCAATAAGAAGTTCTTGTTCTTGTCCTTTATCCTTTCTTTTCCTCTACCTTACTATATCCCTAAAAGGAGAACTAGGATCTCACTGTGTCCCCTTGCACTACCCCAACCCTCTAAGAAAGTGAGTTTACAAAGTTTTAAATGCAACTAACTCTATAGAAACTGATAAAGTGATGAATTTCAATCAAAATATGCTTTCAGAAATACATCCTTTCGTCCATTACATGACCCCAGAGTTAGCGGGTCAGATAATCTCTGCACCTCAGTTTCTTCCTTTGTACAAATGGAGATATGGATACCTATAATGCCTACTTCTACAAGATTGTTTTGAGGTTCAAAAGCGATAATGATCATAAAGCACTCTGAAAACTTTAAAAGTTTGCTAATTTTAAAGCACTATATAAATATCAACTATTATTATTATTATTATTATCAATTAATGATAGTGTAATCCAAAGGAAAACAAATGGTAGTATAGACGAGATGTTATCATGCATAGCAAGGGTGATGTTATTCTACTTTATTCTACTCTGAGGGGACTTTAAGGGGGTCTTTGCATCTACTTTCTATTGGGGTCACTTTCGAGCAGTGCCTAAGACATGAATAAATTCTGCCCCCAAATTGCTTGTGATCCAGCTGAGGAGCTGAGACATGACACCTTTTTCTATAATTGTTAGTGAGGAGAAATTATGATCTTTTATGGGGGCTTCACTACAAGCAAAAGGGGTCAAAATTATTCTGCAAGTCCATAAGACAAGGCAAATATGAACAATTATTGAGATGCTTGGAGAGGAAAAGGAAAGGCATTAGAGTAGATGAGAAGACACAAGGTTAGGATTCAAGGATTCTTCTTACCTCAGAGCGCAGGTGTGCAGTGATGGGGGTGGTCTGCAGGTGCAGGAAGGCTAGCAAGAGAGCTAGACCTTTGGCCTTCATCTTGCCCTCTTTGTTGGAGTAGGCAATGTTTAGGAGAAGGTCTATGGAGGCTTTTTATAGTATTCAATGGGAATTTCCCTATGAGAGAAATTCCTCTAAGCACGTGACTTATGGTCACTTCTCAGAGTGTACACACACACACACACACACACACACACACACACACACACACACACGGATATGTATGACTCATGGTCCCACTTCATAAATTAGCAACATTATACACACCACACCAGAGCCAGTTATCTCCTGCCAATATTAACTTTTGCAATCCTTTGGAAAATGGAATATCTGGTTTTCAGACCTGTACTTTATTTGAAGAAAAAAAAAAGACTGTAGCAAAAGAGTTCCTATGGGTAAGATCCTACCTGAGGCCACATGAAGGAAAAGACAATTACCCACCTTTTCTTTTCTAGTGCTTTCTTCTCATTGGTGGACATTTGTTTAAAAATGGGGTGCAGACACACAATGGGGTTCCCCAATCAGTACCCAGAGGTGCCCTAGGTGCGCTATAACTACCATTTCCAAATGACTCAGGGTCCCATGAATACCCACATAATCCATTCTCCGCTGCCAGAGGTGAGGAGAGAGAGCATTCCAAGAGAGATCGGCGATGAGACCCATTTAGCTAAATCATAGAGTATATGGCATGGAATAACATGTAAGAAGGCTGGAAGACCAAATGAAAACAGGTTGTAAAGAGTTTTAAATGCCAAATAGAGGGGTTAATACTTGATTGTTCAGAGGTAATAGGGAGCCACTGGAGTTTATTGAGTAGTAGGAGGATGGCATGACCAGACTTGAGCTTTAGGTCATTTAGGCAGCTGCATAGTAAAGGCTGGATTGCAAAGCACTTTATATACATCATCCCATTTGAGCTTCACAACCACACTATTAAGGCAAATGCTATCATTAGCCTCATACTATAGATGAGAAAAATAAAGGTAAGTGACCAGGGCATATGCTTTGAGTTGTCCAGACAGTATTAAGGATAGAATTGCCTCTTCTGCCCAGTAGGACACATTTCCAAAAGAACTCTAGCAAGAAGAGGAAATTTGTCCTCCCTTTCTTGAATTCCAATCCTTCTCATCCGCATTCCCAGTCTCATTGGTACCCTTCCCCCATTTTAGCAGGCCCTATATTTAAGCATCTCTATCTTCATACCTTTTCTGTATAATGCCTTCCTTGTACCCAATATAATACTGCATTTATTTATTGTTGTTGTTCAGTCATTTCAGTTGTGTCTGATTCTTCATTACCCCATTTGTGGTTTTCTTGGCAAAGATACTGGAATGGTTTGCCATTTCCTTCTCCAGTTCATTTTTTACAGATGAAGAACTGAGGCAAATAGGGTTAAGTGACTTGCCCAGGGTCACACAGCTAGTAAGTGTCTGAGGCCAGATGAGTCTTCCTGACTCCAAGCCTGGTACTATATCCACTGCACCACCTACTTGCCCTATTTATTTATAGATGTAGTTAAAGTTTACAGAATGCTTAATTAACAACCACCGTATGTGGTTGGTAGTAAAAATGTTGCTATCCCTATTAATAGATAAGAAAACTGAGGCACTGGATTAGGAGGGAGGAGACCTAAGTTTGACTCATGGTTATGTCATTTACTAGATTAATGCTTCTAGGCAAGTGTATTCATCTGCCTTGGCCTCAGATGCTTAATTATAAAAACAGAGATAGCACCTTACCTGCCTGAAAAAAGGGAATGATATCTCGAACTTCCTTTCATCTCTAAGATTCAGGAATATATGATTCCTTTTTAAGTAAAGGAGGGAACAACCCTAGGTCTCTCCATATATTGCCTGCTATCTGGAGGAGAGAGCTGAGTGCACAGAGTCCCTGCTCGGAGACAAAGTATTACACCCTGAATTTGTTCCTCTTATTCAGATTGGGGAATAAGTTCTCCCTAAGTGTGGTTGGGAGTGCCTGATCTACCTCCCAATGAAATCCCCCTGTCTCTAATTCCTTCAATCATTCCTCATATGATATGGACTCTAAAACCCTCATTCTCCTTGTTACCCTCCTCTGGACCCTGTCCATCTTATCAATGCCCTTCTTAAAAGGTGGTACCCCAAAACTGAATATAGTATTGTGGATATAGTTGGAACAAATCAAAATATAGAGTGGTGACTGTTTCCTTATTCTTGGATGTTATGACTCACCTAATGTCATCAAAAGTTGTATTTGAGATTGTTGTTTGGTTCGTTTGGGGTTTTGGGGGGTTTTTTGGCTGTCATATCACATTTTGGGGATGCTTTTAATTCCTATTGAACTTATATTAAAACCCCTATATTTTTATAAGGTAAACTTCAGAATGGCCACATTTCTTCCATTTTGTGCGTGTGATGTTATTTTTTTAAAGTATAAGACTTTAGCTTTATCCCTATTAAATTTCATCTTATTAGATTTAACTTAGTGCTATAAATCTTTCTGACTTCTCAGGACCTCAATTTCTTCCTCGGTAAAATGAGGATGATTCTTTGTACCTATGGGGACTGACTCTACAGGGTGGTTGTAATTTTTAAATGGTTAGTAAATGTAAAGCACTCTGTAAAGAGTTAATAAGATCGAGGTACAGAATTAAATCTTGGCTGTCATCCAGAGAGGAAAAGGATGGGAATAACAACACCTATACTGACCGCCTAAGAGAGTTTTTGTAAGGAGAGAACTTTGTTTACATTAAAGCATTAAGATTCAGGGTATTGTTTTTATGAATAGTGGAGCAATTTTCACAGTCTCTCCTCCATCTACATACTACACACACACACACACACACACACACACACACACACACACACACACACACTACCCCAGCCTGGGAGTGACAATCCTCCCATTAGGCTTATGGTAGTCTCTTCTCTTCTGTTTTTCTTTACAATCTTCTGAATAATACTCTAATTTATTCAGTAGCCATAGAATCATGAGAGCACTGGTGATGCCTGGATAATGAGATTATTAATAATAATGATTTGATCAGTCCCTGTGCAGATACCTTTGTTCTGGAGAAACAACAGATCTGCTAGTTATTACCTGACTCAGAGATGGGAGAAAGTTCTCAGGGATGGAAATCACATAGTGTGTGATTTATAAAATATATTCAGAAACTGTGTGTTCCCTCCAGTGTTAAAGCTCACAGTGAGTAATGGGACATTCCACACTTGCATCTTACAGGCTTTTGTTTTCATATCTTTTTTTTTTTAATGGGAACGTCCCAAAGTTGCATTTCACAAACCATTGCAACATATGGGGAAGTAGTTTTTGCCTCATATCAAGCATGATCCTGGAGTACTGACAAAATCAAAAGGAAATACCTTCTTGTACTTTTGGAAGATATGTGTATGTAAGATCTGGGTTTGGTATCATCAACTCCTCAGTTTAGTTCTGTCCCCCAAAACTATACTCTATATGTCATCAAGCTAGATATATAGATATACGTGTGTGTGTGTGTGTGTGTGTGTGTGTGTGTGTGTGTGTGTGTATGATTCAATTAAACAAACATTTATCAAGTGCTCACTATGTTTAAGGCACACACTGGTTCTTGAGAATATAACAATGGAAAATTATGTAGTCCCTGTACCCAAGAAGCTTATAGCCTAATGGGGGCAGGGAGAATCTAACACATATTTGAATAAATGTGACACAAGATAGAGCATGAAGGAATATGGCCTATCCCATGGGAATCTAGCTTTAAAAGGGACTCCTGAAATCTGTTGTTCTGTGCCTTCTTCAGAGGCAACTTAACTTTTGTATTACTACTATAGGATCATGTGATTTAAAAATTTAGTGTTGGAAGAACCTGGAGCCAGAAGGGAGAAGGGAAAAGGAGGGAAATAAGCACATATTAGGTGCCTCCTGCATGCTGGGCCCTGTGTAAGCACTTTACAATAGCCCTAAGAAATAGGTACTATTCTTATCCTCACTTTTCAGTTGAGGAAACTGAGCCAGGCAGAGGCTAAGTGATTTGCCCAGGGTCACTCAGTTAGTAAATGTCTGAAGAAAAGGTGTTTCTGATTCCAGGGCCTGTGCTCTATCCACTGCACCACCTAGTTGTCTGACAAAGTTTTGTGTTCTAGTGCTTGGGTAAATTCCTTAACCCGTTTAAGCTTTGGTTTACTTATCTATAAAATGTGAGGATATATCTGTGTCATTATTCACAATCATGAACATTGTATCATATAATTAGAATCAGATAAAGCTAGACATCAATATAGATATATAGACATAGGCATTTATATTATTTTTTTACCCTTCATAATATAGCAGACTCACATTTAAAATTGTGTTGTTTTCAAGTAAATCTTTTTTTTTTACTTCTGTAGCAAAACCATTAATATTGGCCTGTTCTCTAGAGTTATTGAGAAGAACAAGCTAATAGAAATGATTGGAAGATATTGTCCAAAATGGGGGTGGGGTGTGGGGAGTCATAAAAATAGCCATTTTTAAGAAATGGAAAAAATTACTATTCAATGTGGAATTGCTGCTCGGTGGATCCAACCAATGACCCACCCAAGCATATAGAAGTGCCTGTTGGCATTTTATGTGTACTCAGAGGTCAGGACAACCCTTCCAAGACAATGAAATAGCTCAGCTTCAACCAAAGTATGTCTGTGAAAGTATTCAACACCATAGACAGCACAGGTACCTCACTAGCCAAAGGTACTGCCCAGAGGCCAAAGACCAACACTCCAAGTGCAATCTATGTGGTAAGGTGGGAGAGCACAAGAGTTAATGGATAGCTTATTTTGCAGTGGATAAGTGAATTAATTCTTCTAGTTAACCATTATATTTTACTTAGTTTCAGTGGCAGCCAGATTAACTGCAGAAATATTCATCTGCATAGGGCTGTCCGTGATGGAAGGCTAGATCTTGGGGTGTAGGTCCATAATGAAGAGCAGAGAGCCAGAGCTCATCATCACCCATTAAGCCAAAGAAATTAGGATATACAGAATCTCCCTATGTGTGCATGCAAGCAATGAAAAGGTCACAGGCAACAGAGTATCCAGCGGCAGTTTATCCCACAA